CAGCGCGGACGGGGCTCCCTGTCCTCTCTGCCCACCTCCCTGCTCTCCCTTCCCTGCCCCATTGCAGCCCCACTCGTGACACGCTTCCCTGTCCTCCGTGTCCACTCAGCTCTCACCTGCGGGTATTTGATGTCCCCCGTGTCCATGGCCGCCTTGTCCAGCCCGTTGACCGCCTGGCCCGGCCCGGGAAAGCCGCTCCTGTTCACTCCCGGGGGCCACTCCTCCATTTTCGGGGGGTACGCGGCCCCCTCGGTGCCAGCCAGAGCCCCTGGGGAACAAAATGTCAGCCCCGAGCAGCTTTTGGGGTGAAACAGAGGGAATTCCCGCTTTTCGAAACGCCTGGCTGTGTAAACCCGCGGGCTGGGGGCACAAGAATCCGCGTTGCCTCCAGCATCCCGAAATTTGGGATCACACTGCGGGGAGAGGTTGGGGTGTCCCCCCCAAAACCCGCTCGCGGTCTCCCCCCCCTCCCTCTCCCAATTCCCAATCCCCGATAATTTAGGGGCTCCAATTTCTCTCCCGACGAAGGGGATTTGGAGAAGTGACATCGGAATTTTAAGGATAAATGATTGCGCGGGGGGAAACGCATGCGGTTGATTTACTCGGGCTTTTGGAAGGATAAAAGGACCCGCAGCCCCCTGCCACGGCCCGCTTGTCCCCCCTTGGAGCCGCAGGGGCTCGGCCTTGGCGCTCCCGGAGCCCCAAAATTCCCAGATTCCTCGGAAGAATCCAGGAGGCCGGATCCGAGTTGCCTTCTCTTCCCTTTCCTCCCTGATTTTTTCTCTCCTCTTATTTTTCCCTCTTTTCCCCTCCTTTTCACATATATATATATATATATTTTTTTTTTTTTAATCCCCCTTTGCGGAGCGAAATTCAGGGCTCCGAATTTGCGGTCAGCAATCTATCATCCCTAGGAAAATATTTTCCACATTTTTCATAAAAAGTTCAAGATGTGGCTGAGCCGAGGCCGCATCTGGCCCCGCCGCCCCGACGGGCTGGTGGAGCGGGGGGAGGCCCTTGGGAGAAAAAAAAGGGGGGAAAATTGGAATTGGGAGGGGAGGGGGGGGAAGGAAAATATAGGGAACAACAAACAAAAAACAAATTGGAACAGACAGCAAAAAATTAAAGAAACGACAGCAACAAAAACTCGAATAAACTAAGGAGCTGAAACTAATAAAAAAAGAAGGAAAGACGCAAAAAGGCACGAAATGAGCTAAGAGGCACGAACCAAACAAAAAGCCGAAAACAAGCAGAAGAAAAAAATTCCCGAACGAGCCGAAAGGCACGAAACAAACAAAAACCCCCGAAACAAACAAAAAAACCCCGAAAGAAAAAATAAATAAAAAAACCCACGAAACAAATAAAAAACCTCGAAACAAACAAACAACAAAAAAAACCCCAACGGAACAAAAAATCAAAGGGACAAAACAAAGAGACAAAAACCACTAAACCGACCAAGAAAACGGGCTAAAAGAAGGACGGTGGGGGCGGAGGGGAGCGGAAGGCGCGGTACCCACCCGCCTGCTCCACGAAGGTGCGGATGCCCAGGATGTTGGTGACCGAGTGCGCCGAGGGCCAGGAGCGGGGCAGCGGCACCGAGGGCGCCCCGAGGTGCGGCCCGGGGTGCGGGGCGGCCTTGGCGGGCGGCGGCGCGGCGGGGCCCGGGTACGGGTATTGGTAAATGTGCGCGCAGGGCAGCGCGGCCGGCGGCGGCCCCGCGGGGGCCAGCGGGCCGATCTTGTTGCGCAGGATGCGGCTGATGGAGCTGACCGAGGGCACGTTGTACTTGTCGCACACGCCGTCGGCCAGCAGGCGGTCGCGGATCTCCCAGGCGAAGATGCCGGGGTCGCCCTGCTTGTAGTCGCGGATGTGCTTGACCACGGCCGGCGTGGTGACCCGCGGCTTGCTGCCGCCGATGGCCCCGGGCAGGATGGAGCCCGTCTCGTGGTAGCGGGCCAGGATCTTGCTGACGCAGCCGTGCGACACGCGGAGCTGGCGGCTGATGTCGCAGGGCCGGATGCCGAGCTGCGCCAGCTCCACGATCCGCAGGCGGATGGCGTTGGGCAGCGGGCGCCCGTTCACGAAGACGCCGCCCAGCTGGTTCACCTCGCCGTAGGTGTGCTCTGCGGGGCGGGATGGCACGGATCGGCACGGCACGGGTGGGCACGGCGCGGGTGGGAGCGGCCGTGGTGCCCGCGGGGTGGGGATGGAGCTGCAGCGGGAAGGGGAGAGGGAAAAGAGGGGAAAAAGGGGAAGGGGAAGCGAGAAAGGGAGGGGGAAAGGAGGAAAAAAAGGGAAGAAAGGAAAAGGAAGGGGAGAAAAGGAAAGGTGGGGAAGGAAGAAAAATGGAAGGAAAAAAGAAGGGGGGGAAAGGGGAAAAAGGGGAAAAGGCAAAAAGGCAAAAAGGCAAAAAGGCAAAAAGGGAAACAGGGAAGAAAGGAAAGGGAAGAAAGGAAGGAGAGGAAAAAAGGAAAAAAGGAGAAACAAAACTAGAATGAGAGGGGAAGGGGAAAGACAGAGAGAAAAAAGCCCAAGGGAAGGGGGAAAGAAGGAAAGAGAGAAAGGAGAGATACAGATACAAAAAAAAGTGAGATAAAAGTGACAGTAAAACAAGAAAGGGGAGGAAAGACAGCGAAAGAATGGGAGAAAAAGAAAAGTCAGAAACGACAAAGAGGGGAAAAAAGAGCACAAGAAAAGGAGAGCGGGACAAGAGAGAAGGCAAAAGAACGAGAACGGGAGAAGGACTAGCAAGGAGGGAGCGGAGCGAAAGCGAAGGGAGGCGCGGGGAGGACGGAGCAGCGCGGAACCCTCCCGGCACCCCGGCATCCCCGGCCGCCTCCTGCCCCTTCCCGGTGCCCTGCTCGGCCGGGAGCCGTCCCGGAGCGTCCCGGAGCCCGTGCGGGGCCGCACTCACCCATGGCCCGGCGCGGGAAGGGCGCAGCGCCCGCATAGAGAGCGCTGGGGGCGGCCGGGCCGGGCCGGGCCGGGGGGTCCTGGCGGCGCCGGGAGCGAGCCCCGCTCGCGGGGAGCCCCCGCCGCTCCTCGGGATCAATTTGACGTGGGAACCGCGTCAATCGCGGCCGTCACGGCGGAGGCGCCGCCGCCCATTGGCTCCCGCCCGCTCCTAAATGGCCGCGGCCGGCGGGGCCGGGGGAGCCGCCCCCTCCGCCCGCCCCCTCGGGGCCGCGCCGCCGCCACCGGGACCCCCCGAGCGCCCCCGAGCTGCGGGAGGGCACGGCCGGGACACGGCGGGGGCTCACGGACCCCGAGCTGCGAGTGCCCCCTTCCCTCCCCGAGCTCTTCCCACGCGGGACAGGGACAGGGACGCGGACACGGACAGGGACACGGACACGCACCTGCCCCACCTCCCGGCCCGACGGACGGGATCGGACCGGACGGGACGGGCGCGTTTTGGGGGATACAGATCCCTGCCCGGGGGGGCTCCCCCGAGGAAGCGCTGCTGCTCATCCCCTGGCAGGGAAATCCGCCTGTTTCGGCCCCAAAAAACCCGGCCCGGAGGCGAATCCGTCAAACGCGGCTGGATTCCCGCCGGGATTTTTATCCCCCCTCACGGAGAGATCGGTGGGAATATCGTGAGTGTTTCCCGCAAAAGACTGGAAGGGTGGGGGGCAGGTGCGGCCGTGACGCCCCTGCGGATCCCTGGGGATGGGTTTTTGGGAGGTCTGGGGGTCCCCTGCCCTGATGGAGGAAAATTTCCTCCCCCGCGGCCCTGGAGCCTTTTCCCCCTGGTGTTGGAGCATCCCTCGCTGCCTGGAGATGAGGCTTTTCCAAGGAAAAAATCCCGACAGGAAAAGTTCCCCCCACCTGCTCCCCGCCCGCCACCCGCGTTCCCCAAACCCTGCCGGGGTCCCGGGAACATCACCGGGATCCAGGAATTCCCCGCAGGAATGTGCGCCTGGATATAGCGGGGGTGGAAAGGGAGAGAAGCATACGGGAAAGGGAAAAAATAGGGAAAGGATAAATAAAAAATAAACGAAGGAAAAAATGGAGGGAAATCAACATGAAAAGAAAACGAAGGAGGAAAAAAAAATAAGATGGGAAGAGAGGTAGATGATGAAGGAAAGTTAAGCAGGGGGGAATGAAAAAAAAAAACAAAAGGAAGAGAAAATAAAAGCAAAAATAAAATAGTTTTTAAAATTAGGATAGAGAAAAGCAACTAAGAAAAATAAGGGAAAACAGAAAATTATTGAATGGAAAGGGAAAGGAAAGGGGCTGCTGCTCAGGTGAGATGCGGCAGGAAAATCCCAATTATTTTGCTCCCTGTCCAGCTCCCTGCGGAGCTCCAGGAGCAGCACCCGACCCCCAAATCTGCTCCCCCCTGGCCATTCCCTGCCCTGCCCTGCCCACGATGGTTTCCATCTGCTCCAGCTCCTCTTTCCCTTCTCCAGCCCCTCTTTCCCCGCTTGAACACCATCCGGAGCGAAAAAAATATTTTAAACCCCTAATTTTCCCTGTTTTTGCCAAAGCTGCTGGAATTTTGTGGGTATTTTTATGCCGGGCTGAGCCTCGGGTGACAGGAGCGATTTTACGTCATTAATTTTGCTGAATAAAAATCCAGAGGAGCAGGGAGCTCTGGAAACTTTTCCCTTTTTTTTTTTTTTTTTTCAATTTTTTTTTTTAATTTTAAATAGATTTATCAGGAATACTGGATGGAAATATCAAGGATATTGGAAAGGAATGTCAAGGATGTTTTTCTCCTGCAGAAGCTGGAGATGAGTATAGTTAAAGGTAGGGGGTCCTGGATGTTTCACCAGTATTTATTCCCTACTATTTGTTACAAAATAATATAATTAATATTACACTGTAATATAATAAAGCTGTTAAATTATTATTCAATAACAATGATATATTCTATTATTGTGTTGTTATCTGATACTGCAATCCTGTGCTACATTATTTTATTATTATTAATTCATTGCTGATTCAGGAACGCTGGGGCTCTTGCAGGAGTTTATGGAGCTCCTTTTCCATCCGGATCAAACCAAACTGGAAAATCCTGTGGGATCAGACACTCTGAAAACTCCCAGTAAGTGCTGGGTGCCTCAGCCTGTGCTTCGTGTGTCAGAGACATCACAGAATTCCAACAGGATTTTTTTCTCCAGCCTTTTGCCCTAATGCAGGGAGTTGGAGGATCCTAAAAATGTTTCCTGGTCTCTGAGGAAGAACATTTGAGAGCTCAGCAAAGCAAAATCCTTCTCCAGAGCTTCCCTCTGAGCATCTCTGCCCGGTCTGTCCAGGCCACAGCTCCGATAATTAACAACAATATTTGTCAAAAGCGATTTTCTCCCGTAAAATCCTTCCCTGCCAGAAGCTCCTCAAACCCACCCGGATTAAAACCGCACCAAACCCCTCGGGAGTTTTTCCATTTGAATTTTTTTTTTCGTCCCTAAAAAATCCCTTTGCGCTCTCTGATGAGAGATTCTCAAAGTGAAAACCAGAGCGGGATCCCGGAGCCTTTAAATAAAAAAATTCCTGATGGGAAAGGTTGCTGGTCCGAGGGCAGCACAGAGCGTTGAAAATCCTCAATAAATCGCATGGATCCATCCTGCTTTTCTCTTTATATGGATTTTCTCCTCTTTTTTTGCCCGGGAACAATTTCAATGGCTTTTTTTTTGTGGAATCTCATTCCATGCCCTGAGTGCAGGGCGGGGATGTGCGGCTCCAGCCGCATCCCACAGCTCTGGACGTGCCAGCGATCCCCTTTCCTTCCCAGGGCTCGATATTTAAAAACACTGAGTTTTTGGGGGAAAATCCCGGTTATCGGCGGAGCCTGGGGCTGGGAGGAGCGGGGGGATTGAGGGTCGGTCCCTGCGAATCCCGCTCGCCACATCTGGGAGCGGCATGCGAGGAGCAGCCTCGGGAAAGGACCGGGAGAGCCGGGAATGTGGCGAAAGGACAGAGCCGGGCTCCTTCCTCTCCCTGCCGACATTCCCAGGAAAACCGGCGCCTCTGTGCTGGGAATTCCTCCGGGAGTGCTGGGAATCCGCGGGGCCTCTGGAGGTGCCGTGAGACACCAACAGCTCCTTCCCACAGGGAGCCCCCCTGGAATCTTGGAATTGTGAAATCCTTGAGGCTGGAGAAGCCCCCCAAAACCATGGAGCCAGGTGTCCCTCTCTCTCTGTCTGGGGAATGAATATTCCCTGGATTCTCCAGCGCTCTGAAAGAGAAACAAAACTCCCTCCCAATGTTTTCCTTCGGACTGAGCTCCCGAAGTAAAGGGAGCTGAGCAAGCCCTGGCTGGGTGTAAATCCAGGCGGGATCAGCTCCCGGCTCTGCAAACAAACCCCACAAACACGTGGGGCTGGGGCCGAGGGGCTGCTAAAGCCATTCCCGGTGTTTTCCTAGCGGGATGGATCCCCCCTCCCGGCCACCGCCGGGCCGCGGGCTTGGCAGGGAGCGGGATGTGGAGCTGTGCTGCTGGAAAAACACATCGGGGAGGCTGGAATAGCACCGGGGGCTCGCTGGGGTTGGCACGGGGAGAGCAGGGAATCTGCTCCTCCACGGAAAGAGCTGGGAGGAGATCCGATAGGATTTGATAATGTTAAAGTCAGGTTTTAGGGCATGGATGCATCCAGCGGCGTTTGGGGCATGGATGGATCCAGCAGCGTTTAATGCAGGGTTTTCTCGTCCTGAGAAGGTCTCGTAGGAAAGAGGGTGGGGTGTACACAAGGGTGGCCTGAAAAGTGGGATAAATAATCCATGGATTTCCCCAGGGATGGCTCTGAACCTGCCGGGCTGCTCAGCCTGAAAAGGAGGAAGAAAAAACCTGAATTCCCCGTTGGTTTTCCTCAAGGTGAATTGGCTTTGATGGTGGAGGCGGATTTTAAACAACATTTTATGGGGCTGGATATTAATTCAATAGTGCTGAATATTAAATTATTGAATGTATAAACACTGAATTCAATAATCCTGGATTTTCCAATGTCCCCTTTGCAGTTCTTCCCTCTGGTGCCACACTCCAGAGCTCCCTGGCTGTGCCCAGGGTGCCGTTCTGCCCATCCAGAGCTCCCTGGTGCGGCTCCAGAGGATTTCCCGAGGGTTCTGGAGCCATTTGGAGGCGGGTAAACTCTTTTCAGGGCTCATTTCCCAGCAGAAACTCGTCCCAGTATGAAGATGCAGGGCCAGAGCGAGGTGAGCAGCACAGAACATTGCAAACACCATAAAGGCCCCGAAGAATCACAGCAAAACCCTGTTTATTTCTCCCTGTGTGGGAATGGGGGATATAAAATGGGATTTAAAGCTGTGAAGAGCTGCCTTGTCCGCTCCAGCCGATTCCTGAATCCCAAAAGTCCCTCTGCTTCCCATTCCTGCCTGACAGCTCCTCCTTGCACATGGCCTTTAAAATTAAATATGGGAGGGGGTAAAAAAGAACTTTTCCTCACTGCTCTGCTGCCCTGAATCTGCAGGAGACCATCCAAATAAACAAGAAAATAATTATTTACAGCCTTATAAATTGTTGTCACCAATTTCTCCAGGAGTAAAAACACCTTTTTGGAGCAAAATGGGGTTTTTCAATGTTTTTTGTTTTTTGCAGGTGTGTGGGGATGAGTAGATACATTTTGAGCTGGGGAAGATTTGGGGGTTCAGACTTGTTTGGTACGAGAAATAGGTAAGAAAAAGTGGCTGGAAAAGTTTAATTTTATTTGAGAAAATCTCAAATTTTGGTTCAAATGAGGTTTTTGGTAAGGTAAATTGTGCTGCTCTCCTGGAAGAGCAGTGGTGGGATGGAGCCTTGGAATAGGAATATCCGGGATGGGGAGCATGGACTGGGAATTCAGTGGAATTCCCCCCCTAAATCCAACACTGGGAAAGCACCCTGGATGTTGGAGTTATTGTGCATTACCGGAAGCACTCCGTGCCAGAATTCTAAGGCAGTAATTGGGATAAAATGGGAATAAAATTTCACATCTTGTCGTGGCAAGGGGGAAATGGGAGCTCCCTTTGGAAAGGCTGCGCACAAACAATGCTCCTGCCACTCATCCCGTGGCACCGCCAGCTCTCCGGGCACTGGTTTCCATTTATTCCCCGGGATTCTGGGAGATGTCAGCAGGATTTAACACACATGATGTGGGCAGATGAATGAGCTGGATCCTTTTCTGGGAACGAGAGCTCCTGGGGCTCTGTGCGGCTCTGCAGCTCCAGAGATGGGGGGATTTATTTCGGGAGATCTGGACTCCATTTCAGGCCGGGAAAATCCTGCTGAAGCCAAGGGGGAGCTTCCCACTCCCGTCAGCAGGTCTCAGGAATGCACTTAAAACCCAGGCTTGGCTTTAAAGCTAGGCTTAAATCTTACTTCTGCTGGAAGGTGAGGGATTTAAAAGAGCATTTCTGGGCTTACCTGGCTCTGGGTTTGTAAAAGAATCCTGCAGGATGCTGGAAGTTGTATGGATCCGGGTTGGCACCTCTGTGTTGTCTGTGAGCGCTGATATCCCAGAATTATCAGGATGAACACCAAGGATATGCCCAGCCAGCAGTTTTGAAGAGCCTGCCCCATCCCTCCCCTCTCAGCTGTGGTTTCCCCATGGGAGGTGAGGGATTTCCAGCCCAAATTCCTGCCCATGCCCCTCTCCACCTTCACTCCATCCAGGCATCAATTCCTGCTCCAAATCCTTCCTCCAAAGCAGCCCAGGAAGTGAAGAAATTCCCCCAGGACATGGCCTGGATCGGGTCATTGTCCCCCAAAGCACACTTGGGAGTGGCCCAGCGCTGGGGCCACAGGATGGTTCCAGATCCTTCCGTGGGGAGCAGGATCCAAGGAAAGGGAGCATCAGCTCCAGGGAATAATGCTGGGAGCTCAAAACCCAGCTCAGGCAGGGAGACAAAGGAACTCCCTGGGATGGAGGGAATTCCACAGAACACCCCCTGCCATGAGCTTCTTTTCCCTCTCCTCACCTGCTCCAAAATC